ATGACACATGATATTTACTAGATTTTTCAGATCTTTTATACAGTCAAAACTCATGGAAATTAATTAGGTCAGTGTTCATTGGTCTAAAGTTGTGCTGTTCTTAGTACTTGGTGTCCTATTGGATCTGGATTTCTTTGCTTCTGATGTTGAGTAGATCTTCACCCTTGATTTTCTTACCAGTATTTTCTGGAGGATCTGTTTCCACCTCTGCCAGAGGTAGAGTCTGGGGTAGATGTTAAGTCTGGGGTAGATGTTCTTAGATGGCCACAGGTGGTTCTTTATCTATTGGGCTATTCCCAGTCTGTTGAGATGTTAAATTCATCAGACCTCACCTAGAGGAACAATCCCCTAGAAAGAAACTTAAAATTCTTTTTCCCCAGTCAAAGGCAAACAAAACCCCTTGACTAAAGTTATACAAAAATTTTTAAACTGGTATGTTTTCCAACACGTTGGGTGTTCTGATCACTGGCTCAATTGAACGTTTCTGTCTCTCTTTTGTTGCCACCATATTTCTTTGGATATGAGAAATTGATGCTGCCAACAGTCAGTACAGCCTTCCACTATCTGAAGGTGGTGTGTTTGGTGATGCCTTTGTGCATCTGGACACACTGTCCCAAACCACCTTCAGGGGAGTTTGATCTTCAGTTTATAGGGCCTGGTCCAACCACCAAGCCTGACTTCTTCAAAACTACAGGCTATCGGTTTCCACTTCTTACTTCACCTTCAGGAACAGACCTGTATTAACCTTGAGGCTTTAGAGAAAAAAGAACCATTACTTTCTTTGATTGATCAACTTGCTGCTATGTGCTTGTTGGTTTTTAAATGCCCCAACATGCCTGTTCGATGTCATCACTTGGGACTGCCTTCTTCCTCTGGAATTTGATTCAAATTCTGCTTTTTTGAAGTTCTTGGTATTTGAGGTTCAAGTTGTGGGTACTGTTCCACTTTCTTACACCCACTGGTATAATTTAGCAAATCTGTCATTTATGCTCAATATAACAGAGTCGTTTAACTGCAGGATCTCATCGGTGCAATTAACCCTGCTCCTTTAAAATGAGGAGCTGATTGTCTTGGCATTCATGGAAGCAGAGAGCATAGTAGAGTGCTGCAGCTCCTGGCCCTTCCAGAGCAGTACTGCAGTCAATTGATTATTTTGTTAATTGGTTTTGCATCCAGTATCCTGCTGGTTTATTATCATCCAAGTGACTATATGCACCGTGCATAAGTACAAGTATAGTAAAAATCAATACTTGAAACCTTTTTTCCTTGTAAAGAAAGCCATCCATGGACTACCTTTGATACGTGACCTTCATTTTGCTTGCAACACAGCTAGTAGTAACTTTTCATAATTTAGTTTTATGCTAATAAAGTAGATGCTCAGGTTCTGATCTGTACTTAAACTTGTATCCTAATGAAAAAGGAAGAAATTACTTAAGAATGAAATAAACAAAAGGCTGTTATTGTAGATAAATAAGCCTAATTTTGAGATGGTAAAATTCATGCTATTTTTGTAAGAAAATCTTGTTGTTTCACAAGTTTCTAATAAATATACCTCACAGGCTTGAATCATTTAGTGACTGTTATCAGAAGCCTGAGTCCTATGAATGCTGCTTTTCCTGCTTCAGTTAGAGAAACAAGGATTTAAAAGCTGGTGTGAGGTTGCATTGTGCAGGGGATTGAGGGCTGGGTTCCAGGTCGAATGTCACACAAATTGATGGGATTATGGATGTTACAAGATGAAAATGTTTCTCAGTACTTTTGTACTGTTGGACATGCAGATGTGTTCTCTCTTGCATGTGTTTTTGAAACCTTGATGTGGTGCTTAATGGCTTTGTATTACTGGGGAGGCCTACTCTTCCTCCTGAAGTAGAATCAGAAGAATCAGATTAAACCCCTCTCCTGATCTAGACTAGATATGAAAGCAGAAATTTCCTTCTTGGGAAAAAGAGGTGCGTTTTTCTAACGCAGATACCCAGCTGGCAAGAAGACAAGGATTTTGCTGTGTCAGCTGTGTGCAGCCCTAAATGGGCAGTTTTCCACCCAGATCACTGGATTTGCATTATCATTTTCCAAGTTTGTTCTTTGGAGATCTTTTTTTCTGGAATACATGGATGTTACCTGTTCTTGGGCTCATTGCTTTCTAAACATGTCTTCATGAGGAAAAAGGCAAATTCTTACCTTGTGCTGGTTGAGATCACACTGCAAGGCAGCTGACTAAGGCAATTTGTAGCTCATGGAAAAAGTTACCAAGACCTTTTCCAAAAATTTCAACTCTTCCTCTCACAAAAAAGCCTGATCTTTTCCAGATTCAATTGTATGACTTACTGTCATTTGCAAATATGAGGAAACCTGCTTCGTTTTTGTGGTGAAAAAAGGTCCCAGAATTTCTGAGACTGTTCTGATGTGGATGGTGACATCCTGTGAGCCCTTTCTCCAAGTGAAACATTCAGAAAACATCCTGCAGAGTGGTTTCAGTTCAGTGAAGATTATGCCTCTTTGAGGGGTGTATTTCCTTGTCTCAGGAAATTATAATGTTATACAAAAAATACACTATGTTGTACTGTGAAGATGGAACAAATCAGACAAACGAGGTAATGCTGAAGAGGGAAAACAGCCTGTGCTGGTTCTGCACATTGCTCCCTCTCTTCCTATCTGTTGTCTTAAAAGACAAGCCGGGGCTCCCCAGCATTGCTTTTTAATCAGTAGAAATCCTTTTGTGTTTAATCCTAATTCAGTGCTTTAATGCAGGCAGGTCCTCAGAGCCAGCAAGCTTACATGGGAGCACAAACGCCTGAAATCTTTTTCTCTGGCATCCCTGTGCATGAGGCTTGTCTTCTGCTCCTAATTATGTTCTCTGGTGACAGCTTGGCGTTTGCAGTGGCAAGCAGAGAAGCAGGGGTGAGGCTGGGAGGGGGGAGGCAGAGTGACACGTGTTGCTCTGTCTCCATGGCATCACTGAGCTTTGTCTTAGAGCTGTCAAACACTGTGCAGATACCTTTCTTCAATGTGTGCAGCGACCTGGTGCCATGAAGTACACCTTGTATGGGTCCTGCTTAGTCACTGTCCTCTTACTAGGTTATTTCATATTAGGTTTTTTCTTTACTTTCAATCCGTTCCACTTTTAATGAACCTGCACAAGCATTGGGAGCACACATATAAATGAAAGAACCAATTCATTATTTTACCATTTGGTGCCTTTAGTTAAGGAGGTAAAATTCATACACGTATATTGTTAGAAACCTTTGACACTGCCTTTTCAGGCCATGCTGTGCCCCATCCTGCTCCCTGTGAATTGACATTAGGTTTTCAGGGTTATAGTGAAACAACAGAGCTGGGAGGAAAACAGCTTTTAGCTCCCATCAGTTAGATCCCAGTTTCACCTCTATCACAGACACCTCACTGAGCACTGGCTTTTGTGCTCATGCTTTAATTAACTGAGACAGAAAGATGCTCCAAGAATGATTCAACTGTCCTAAGATCTGATTGTGTATATATAAAGTTGCTATGACACAGCAGCATAACTCATATGTATAAATTTTTAATCTGAAATGCCAAAGTCACACATGTAGAAGTTGTTCTATGAGTTATTAGATTTATTTAATAACCATGGATTCTTTTCAAGAACACACCTAGTTCTTGAAGTAAATGTTAGGGGGTCTTACTCCTTTTTGCTGCACCTAAACATGTATTTAATGGTTTTAATCATTCCTCTTTGAGCAGGAAGGCTGAATTTTTCCTTTTTTTCCTTTTTTTTTTTTTTTTTTTTACAATTAAATGTTAGTACTCTTCACTCTATCTTGTTACCAGGTTAAGCTAAAGAGTGCAAAATGAGTGTGCCAAAGCTGACATCACCTTTTGCAAGGTCTGTGAATATGTTATTGCATATTACAATTCCAGTTGCAGCCACTGAGTGGTCTCCTTTAGGAAGGCTCTTTTACATGGGTACAAATAAGGTGGTTATGATCCGACATTTGAAGTTCCTGCCTCCAAAGATATTTGCATGTTTAACTTGTCTTACATTCAACAGTGCTTCCTTAAATGTCTTGTGGATTTGTGGTGTATAAAGAAAAGGATTTCTGAAGATCTGTGATGACTTGTGTTTTATAACCTGCATTTTCATCTCCTATACTTCAGCCAGTGTGGTCAATTTAGTGGCTTTTTTGCCATATAGTTTTTCTTGCCAGTATATTTATTTATCACTTATTTATTGCAAGGGTAATCATTGAAAGTAGATCATTTTACAAGACATTTTTGAGAGCCTCAGAAGTATGATGAAAACTCACAACACCAGATTTTTTTCTCCCAGAAAATTTCTTTGGCAGTGTCCTGTCATGCTGTAAAAAGAGGAGTCAGGGGGATTCCTTTTGATAGATTTCTTGGATGAAAATAAAATTACAAGGCTGCCAGCACGTGTACAGCCCTTATAGAAATCCTTCACCTCATGTATAACGTTGAGACATAAATAATCAGATTGTTCCTCCCTATCATGCAGGAAAGGTTATCTAATGATCTTATAATGCCTGGAGAAAAATCTGAAAAAGTAGAAGTGTAGTTGAGACCTGCTTCCTCATTTTGTCAAATGTCTACAGCTTGGAGCTGTGACATATTTGGAATATGTTAAAGAATTTTAGCTTCTATTTTGATGGCAATGAAAAATACAACTGTGACAAGAGGACTCATGATAATAATGATGCCTGGAGAGGGGCTCACTCTTATGCGGATTGTTTGGTGTCTAAAACGTATTCCAGCTGAGTTTTTTTCTCCAGATAGGACACTCTGGGGGAGTCTCTTCCCCTCACAGCTGTTGCAGTAGTCCTGGAGCTTCCTACCTCTGTAAATTCTGTATGGAATCAGTCCCTGGTTTAGAAGTTGCAAATGAATGACACAAACACAAATAGTGTGTTTTCATTACCCTTATAACTAATGAAAACAAGTCTAAAATAAGCTTTTTATGTGTGTCAAGATTGCTGAGGTAAAGATGTAAAAATTAACCCTTCCAGGTGAGGAAAGCTGTGCAACAGGAGGGCTTCATCAGAAGGAAGCGAGGATATAGAGACATCAATGACATTGACATCAACATGAATGATCCTTTATTTACAAAGCAGTGGTACCTGGTAAGTTCTGAGAGAAAATCACAGTAATCATAACTAAATAATTGTCATTCAAGCCGTTCTGTGCAGTTGCAGTGTTTTCCAAGAGTTCTTTCCAAATGCAGGACTTGGGAATGGATCCAAGGCTCTGTTGTGTTGGTTTTAAATGTACCCCTTTTATATTGGGAAGATCCAGCACATTTCAAGTGATAAATTTCATTTCATTCAATGGAAAGCTCCTTAGAAGGCTTGAAAGAGAACTATACTGATGTCCTGTGGGTATTGCTGGTGTGCTGGTGTGACCCCTAGAGCTGCATACAAATCATATTTTGAGCTGTTGCCAGGTAAAATATTGTTACGGAATTATAACAAAAAATTATAATGCATTTGCTAGGAAAAGTTAAAGCTTTTCTTTCTTTATGGAAATTAGAATATAATTTGTCAAAAAAAATAACAGCTGAAAACTGATGAATTTTGGCTTCAGCTAATGTCAAAGAAAATTCATATTTTGCTTAATTGTTTCAGTTTTTCTGTGTCATATTTTTAGAGTTAGAAGTCTTTAGTCATGAAAGAAAAGTTATTACTTGGAAGTGAAATGATTTTTAAATTTAAAAAGTTGATAAAGTAATTCTGGTTAGTTTTATTGTTGCAACATATTTTTTTTAAATACTCAGTAAATGCAGTACTGCCTTGTTAACTTAAGAAGGTTATTTTTGCTTAAGAGTAATGTTTCTTCCTCTTAATCAATTTCTTATGTTTCATGAATCCATCCAATATGGCTGCAGTTGTTTTGGTTTTTTTCCTGAGGCAAAAAGTTTCAAATGAATTGGAGGCACATTAGCGTGGATGGGATTTTATCCTTGAAAAGTCAATAAACTAAAGTGGGGATTAATTCACTTATTTTCTGGTAGTTAATCAAAATGTTGCAGTGATAAAAAATAACAAAAATTTAGGAAGCTATACAGTAGATCTCTGCTTTCAAGAAAAAGTATTTCCTCCTCATAAAAAAGTCCTCTGTAAAATCAGTTGTTCTACCTTTTTTCCTGGATCGTTCCACTGGCTGACATATTTAATGGAAAAGTCCATTTTGGGGTCCAAAAGATTCAGTGTTTAAACAAATCTTATAAAGCACAAAAAATTGAATTTTACCAGTGTTGTTTTTTTCAGGGTTTTTTGTTGCTGTTGTGAGGTTTTTTGGTTGGTTTGGGGTTTTTTTGTGGTGTTTGTTTTTTTGGGTTTTTGTTTTGTTGTTGTTGTTGGGTTTTTTTAAAGCTGCATTAATGCAGTAGATATGATTATGGACAGATGCATTCTACAAAAACTGTATGGAATATAATTTCTGTACCAAAGATGCATGCAGAGACATAAAGGAAAAAACAGTGGCTGTGGAAATATGTCAGTTAAGTAAAAAAAGCTTTTCTCTTTTTTTTTTTCACTGATGTATTAGATTAACACTGGTCAAGCAGATGGGACTCCTGGACTTGACCTTAATGTAGCTGAAGCATGGGAGCTGGGATACACAGGGAAGGGAGTAACCATAGGAATTATGGATGATGGTAAGTGAAGACTGAGTACTAATTTAATACTTTTAAGTAGACTTTTTTCATGTAATTGAAGTTAGCAAAAAAGATTAAAAAGTAATAATAGATTGCTTGTAGTGGTGAGACTACCAACCTCTATAAATAGTTGGACATCTTCAGGGAAAATATGATACAAAGATAGGGGTACTGAAGAATGGATATCCAAGCATTAGAAAGAGTTTGCAATTATCACTCAGATATCTTCCAGGGCACACTGTAATGGCCATTAAACCTAAGGAAGAACTCCCCTTGATTTCTGCAGGCACTGACTGGAGGAGGAAATTGCAGTGAAAAAAATACCTAAGAAAATGTTTTTTTAGATTACATTATTTTCAAAGTCATCCTTGATAGCGGAAATAATTAAACACTTTGATGCTGAATGTCAGTGAACATCTGCATATTAGATATATTGCTAGCTTCAGACTAAGTTCAGGAAAGATGAAGAAAAAAGGTACAGTTGAAGTTTCAGCTCTTCTACTTGTGGGTTCTTGCTGAAGTAAAGGAATTCCATGCAGTCTCTCAACACTCTTCTTTGGAATAAATTTTGAATGTTTTCCTTTAATGGGGATGAATAAAATTAAAAAGAAATAAAATGTCTGTATCCACATATGTTTTCTAGAGTCAACCGAGATCTGTCCTTATTTATTTCTCTTCCTCACTTGCTTACTCCTATGTCAAGGTTTTCATGGAAGTAAGAAAGTAGACTCAGATATCTGGATATTAGGAAGAAATTCTTTGCTATGAAGGTGGTGAGATACGGTAACAGGTTGCCAAGGGAGGTTGTGGCAGTGTTCAAGGCCAGGTTGGATAAAGCCTTGAGCAACCTGATTTATGTATTGATGAAAGATCAATCTCATCTGAGAGATGACCTCTTGTGTCATGATTTCACTGATCTCACAGAGGCAGGACTTGGCTTGCAGATTAGCAAGGCGTGACTGTGATGGGAACAATGACAAACTATTTGGGCTTTGCATCAATAAAACTGATGGTCCATCAGATACAGCTTTCAGAGAAGGGAGTAATTTGCCTTATAATTTGTTTCTAGGAGCTCTAAAAAAAGATGACCTGAATAACAGGATTCTTCATAGAGATTTTTATTTTCCATCTACCACTTGGATCGGTAACAAGGGTCTCCTAAGGCAAATCTAATGCTAAGGACCCTACAGAATGAGAAGTAATCTTTCCATCAGAAAAACTATGATGTTGTGGCATTCTCCTTGAAAATAAAATAGATCATGTAATGGGGAAGTGGTTGGGAAAACAGGACAGAGTGGTGATGATGAAAATGTAGCATGAGATTGGTGGCCATTGTTTTGTATGTTTTAGTTGGCTGTGTAATAGGTCATTTTATCCCAGCTGAGTGTGGATCTGCCTCTGTTACACCATCCACTGGGATTTGGACATTTGCCATGTATAGAAAGATGCCATGCAGTAGAATGAGTATTCTATTATTCTATTGCCCTGCGACAGAAAGAGTATCTCACACTGTTAGAATCTTTAGCATGCTACCAAAATGTGGAGCCTATACACAGATATTTGTTAAAATGGTTTAATCCAATATTAAAAGTTCTCTTTTGTGTATATAATCTGAAATGTTTGCCTTAGTTATCACCCCAAGTCTACTCCAGGTAATTTTCTACTTCATTTACAGTGGTTAAAAATACTCATTTTTCTATCCTGTACTGATCCAGTGCTTACTAATCTTACTAGTTTTGGTATGCCTTGAGATGACAAAACTCATACAAAGATAAATTGTGATTTAAGCCTTATAAATAAATATGATCTAGTCTACAAAACAGTAAACTTTGTCATTCAGCTCACTTTTTCAAATGGCATCTGGATTTTTACATAAATTATTGAAAAGTCCACATTTAAAAACTGAAATGTCGCTTCAATCAGTTGCATTATTCACCATTATTATTTTCCCGTGGTTGTAAATTTTCAAATGGCATCTGGATTTTTACATAAATTATTGAAAAGTCCACATTTAAAAACTGAAATGTCGCTTCAATCAGTTGCATTAGTCAATTTAGTCAATACCATTATTATTTTCCTGTGGTTGTAACGGAATCTTGTTCTGTGATCATTAGAAAATCTTTTTTGAAACTTTTAACCTTTGGTTTCTGTTCTGTCATTATCTTATTGCAGGAATTGATTATCTGCATCCAGATCTTGCATCAAACTACGTAAGTTCATGCTGACCTTTTCTGTAAGATGTGGATTTTCTTATTGCTGTAGTCCCTCTGCTACAAAATTTTAAATAGGGAGCAGAAGAGCAGTACAGCTGGACTCCTGATCTTAGTGATCATACATTTCCCATTGAAAGAAGCAGACTGAAAATGGGGCTGCCTGTGCAAGGAGTGGAAATGTGACAAGGCTCTTTGTGGAGGAATTACAGTCTTGTGTCACATTAAATAAGCTGCAAGCTTGCAATATTTGATTTAGGACAGAAATGAGTAACCTGTGAACTTTCTCTAAGTCCTGCTATTAAGATGGAGAATGCCCCTATCACTTGGAGGGCCATGGAGCTGTGGGGTGTGACAAGGCAGGTATTAGCCTTTGAAACCTCCAGGAACAGTTTAATTCCTTTATACCAGGTGTTTTGATCCAGTGCTTCAAAGCATGTGCAGGGCAGATTGTGTATTCTCATCACATGCTATGCAAATTGATTGTTCCACAAATCTACCTCAGGATTCAGACTTTTGGACTAGAGTGTTCTTGCCTTTCTTAACTCTTTGTCTCCCTCCAACCCTCCATTGGCACTAGCACTCCTATCTTCAGGTCCCTTCCTGAGGGAAGCCCAGGCTGCTTCAGCTGAGCAATGTGGTTTAGTTTGCCATTATAATTAAATGAAAAGAGGAATAAGGTGAGCTGGAGCTTTTGGGAAATAATGTCAGTCACTTGGATAGAACAGCTCCAAAATAAGGAAGACAGTTATTTTTACATATGGGCAGGTTGGAACACAGTGACACACACAGGATGAAAACCTATTTGTGCTGTAAGTAGCAAAGCACATTTGGTAGATAGTAAGTGGATATAGAAGGCTTTGGAGCAGGCATTTGGGAAACAGCTGACCATAGAATGCAGATTATCCAGTTTCACTCCTTATGAACTGGCTTAATAGCAGCTAATTAAACCCTGTGCCCCGACTGCAGAATTCTCTCCCAAGAGAAATAACTCAGTAGGATGTTCCCATAAATTGATAGAAATAAATAATTTTTTTTAAGGCAGTCTTTTTCTTTGCAGAAATTGTGCTCTGTGCATATTGTAGCATGTGATATGGGCAAAGCACACGCTCTATATTCACTTTTCAGCAGCAAGTGTGGACAAAGTATGTGGGAACATTCTGTTTCTAAAAATCATGTTTCAAATATACAAGAAAAAAGTCTGCCCAATATACCTGATATAAGAGTTCTGTTGTTAAGAGGTGAATTTAGGATCATGCCCAGAAGCAAAACTAGATTCTGCTGTAATACAGTGCTTTCTCTTTTAATTCCAAAATATTTTGTGTTTGATGGATAAATATTTGTCAGGTTTAGCAGAAATATATTGGTTTTAGAGTGGCAGTAGTGAATATTGTGGAAATTAGTGGAAAGTGACACAGAGAAGGGCAATACACAGATATGATATTAGAAATCCTGAAATAATGGAACTGGAGAGAAATCTGGGAGTTAAGGGATATTGGGATGAAAATTGGAAAGAAAAGTTGTCTGGACAGGATCATCAAACCTTTAATAGCAGTCATGGAAGACTTGTAAGGAGACTGACTTTGAAACAAGGATCTGAAAAGATTTGTGCAGGAGTGACTTTGTCCAAGTGAGGAGAGGTTCTGTAGTGTAGCAGTGATCAGGCTGTGGAGGGAAAAAAGAAGATCAGCTGGCTAATACAGAATGCAGAAGCAAATGGCTGGTTGGTAAGACAGTCATTAAAGAAGCAGCAGAAATCCCATCTGAAAGATCCTGAAGGAGATAAGACCTCCAGGCTTTAATACTGAAATTTAAAACTAGGATTTTTCACATGAGGTCTATGGTCCTAGGCTGTCACAGCACTGAGAGGTGGCTGGTTAAGGACAAGGTTGATTCCTTGTCCTGCTGCTGAAACTTGCCATCACCTCCCTTGCCCAGCCACAGCAGAGTGAGTGTGAGTGCAGGGCTTGGTTCACCTGTACTTTGGCTCTCCCGTGAGGCTGCACAGGCTGCACAGTCCCAGGGGTTCCTGCTCTGGCAGCCTCTGCTGTCTCTCAGAGGCCACGGGGGCCTTTTTCCCAGTAGGGAGTAATTTGGGCATGAACTAAAGATGAGAACCTAAATTCCACTGAAGAAAATAACAGTTTGGATGTAAAAATGCAATTAAACAAGTCTCTTAAGCTGACATAGCAATTGCAGTCATCTTTGTACAACTCCTGTACCACATTCTTGGTGTTTCACTATATCTGCACTTTGGGGCAGCTTTCTCTGAAGTTCTGTTGTTTATTTTTAAGAAACAAAAAGCTTTTCAATTGTATTAAAGCCTCCATACCCTGGCAGTGTCTGTACATCTTGCTTGGAAAATTGGGAGCAATTAGAAAGTCTCTCAAAGGTGGTGGGTTTGACAGTTGAGCATTTTCAAGTGTAAAACCTTGGCCTTGGTTTCTCATTTTAATTTGTCTTTTATGATTTTGACTTTCTGATTTTCTTGCTTGAATAGTTTAATGGAGGTTAGCACTTAGATGAAATGCGGGGTCAGGGAAGAGAAAGATCTTTCTGAAGAAGAAAACTTTGTACTTTCTCTTAAGACTGTTGAACTTCTACCTATTCCATGGAGTGCACTTCCATCCATATTTTTCTTTGCAGTTCTTTAAGATTTACTGCTTGAATCATCCATTTCTGGTTTTAAGGCTCTTTATATACATGGAAAGACATGTGCCTGCTCATGGTGTGGGTGGACTGCTCTCCCAGCATTGCCTCCTGGCTTGCTGCAGTATAGCTACTTGCTTTTCTGGGATCAGGGAGTTATGGCAAAGCTGGAATTTTCCATTCTACACTGTGAATGCAGAGAGACTGATTGTCAAATGAGCTATATTTTCTTCCAAGCCTTGGAAACCCTGCAGGGAACCTTGGAAACCTTCAGGAAACTATTTTTTTCACCACAAAGAGAGCCCTTCATTATGAACTGATAATTAAAAAGCTGGGGCCTAATCTACACCATGGTTTGCTTTCAAATCATAATGTACATATAAACCCAGCAATTTTCAGGACGATTTCTCCAAGATACAGCATCTGAGTGAGAAAGAAATGTCAAGTTACAAGGGCTGCATCTGAAATATGTCTAATAAAAGGGGTAAAAAGCAGCTGTTGGGGATGGACATAGCAAACTATTTCAAAGAAAAAACTAAGCAAATGGAGATTTCTTGTTCCACAAACAGAAACATAAGCTGAGCTCTATCTGATACCAGTTTTTTATTGTGGTATTTTATTCTTGGCCGCTGCCTGCTGGTGAAGGTCAGTGTAGCAGCATTTTCCCACTTAGAGCAGTGGGGAGCTGATCATCTCCTATAAGTGGATTTGTCCCTGATTAGCAGTAGTTAGAAAAATCAGGATCCCACCAAGAGACTCAGGCCAGAAGTGAAAAATTGCTGGTTTCAGTGTCTGAACTCTGCCTGAAGCTGAAAGCTTGTTTCAAAAAAAAAACTAGGGAGGGAGAGAGAGTAAGACAAACACTGTAGGAAAACTGGAGGTGACTGTGTGAGTTGGTAATGTTTTCACCAAGTATTGATACATGTAGAATCAAGCAGCAATTCCTAGTAATAGATAGCAATTGAAAAGATTTTGAACTCTGTAGAATTACACAGTTGTAACACGTGCAAACAAGCATCAACCTGAGCAGTGGTTCATTGCTGGCCTTCCCCAAATCTCTCTTTTCTTCTCTGTGCTACAAGTCCTTATGGTGCAGCCTTATCTTCCAAGGTCCTTGCCAGCTGTCACTCCAACTGTACACAGGAAAGGCCCCGTGTAAGGAATGAGGGAAGACTTTTTGAATTTACCTCGGGGTTAGTGAAAGTTTTCCATCATTTACCATTTCTCATTCAGATGTGAACAGCAAGTTGCCTTACCTGTCTTCTCTTCCCGCTTTGTCAGCATCTCCAAACACAAAGCAGTCTCTTTCTCATCACTTTTGGTAACTTGTCTCCAGCCAATTCCATAACAGCTCCTCCTGCCTTGCTGAGAGTGGGAGCATATTTTTGGAATAATTATCTTATCACATAAGCAGTGAAGCAGGGAAATGTTCCACTTCTGTTCTGAGCTGCATTTGCCATTGTTTGCTAGAGGAACAAAAACACCATTGAATAATCTTTACAGCCACAAAAGGAATAAGAAATAGTACAGGCAATAAATTTCACTCTGCAATATGTGCAGCAAAGCATAGCAACAGCAGGAAGGATCTTCTTACTTTTAGAAAGTCTGTTTTTCCTTCATTACAATGAATTTCTGACTATGATTGGCCTCCCTGCACAGCACAAAAAGGACCAGCAAACTGTTCTGGTAGCCATGAGGCTGATGGCAGTGATTTACCAGTACAAACCACCAGTATCTCCAGTAAAAATCTCTGGGGCCTAGCTGTGGGATTTTGTAGAGCTGACAAAGCCTCACTGACACTTACTGATCCACACTGCTTTGGCCTTGGTGACCCATTGCCCACCACACCCTGAAATCCCAGCTGTTTTTTTTCCTGAGTCCAGCAGAGTCCATATGTAACTGTTGGGAAGAAAAATGTTGTCCCTTCTCAGGGAAAAAAATTGTTGGAAACACTCTGAAGACATTGAAAAGCTCCCAGTGTCTCTGCACTTAATGTGAACCCAGGGAATCCTCAGGAATCGTAAACACAAACCATAGGAGAGTCAGGTTCCTACTGGCCTAGTGTCAGGGAATGATATCAGGCAGCTTTATGAGATCTGATTCCCATGGCATGATTTTCAAAAGACTTTGAGACAGACTGTATTTCCTACTGCATTTCAAAGGGTTATGCAGCACATGCACTAGACACTTCATTTCAATAAACCTTTGCTTCTGATACATTAAAGGTATTTTATGGGAAAACTCTGTGTGCTGACTGTCATTACTCTTTTTAATTGTAATGTTAAAAAAAGCATTTATTATAAAAAAATAAAGAACAGAATAAACTTGTTTCATCATATCACTAATTAGAG